TGTGTCAGCGCCGTGTACCTGGTGCGTCACCTCGAGACACGGCAGCGCTTCGCCATGAAGAAGATCAACAAGCAAAACCTGATCCTGAGGAACCAAATCCAGCAGGCGTTCGTGGAGAGAGACATCCTCACCTTCGCAGAGAATCCGTTTGTCGTCTCCATGTTCTGTTCGTTCGAAACCCGCCGACACCTCTGCATGGTCATGGAGTACGTGGAAGGTCAGTGTGTGTGTGTGTGTGGGTGCAGGTTTTACTGGAGCAGCCTCTGGAGATTATCCAGAGTTCAGTGCACGTCTGAAAGCAGCGTTAGTCAGATCAAGAAGTTAAAATATTATAGAGAACAGTCAAGATACTGAAGGATATCTTTTGTGCCAGATATCCTTGAGCAGAACTGCAGTCACAAAGAGTTCTGTTGTGCACGTTACCTTCGTCCTAATGGGAATGAAAATGTTCTAGAACAAGAGGAATGAAGAGACATTCCTGTTAATCGGCAGTAGGACTAATAGAATTCATCACTGTGCTGTCAGGAGGAGACTGTGCCACTCTGCTGAAGAACATCGGAGCTCTGCCTGTGGAGATGGCACGAATGTACTTCGCAGAAACCGTCCTCGCTCTGGAGTACTTACACAACTATGGCATTGTGCACCGTGACCTCAAGCCCGACAAGTAAGATGGGAGTTAATGTGGTTTTACTTCAAACCTAAACGCTGCACTGGATTTTCTGTTTATAAAGCTCACTCTGCACTTTGCCCTTTCTTTTCCCAGCCTCTTGATCACCTCGATGGGACACATCAAGCTGACGGACTTCGGCCTGTCTAAGATGGGACTGATGAGTCTCACCACCAACTTGTATGAAGGACACATCGAGAAGGATACCCGGGAGTTCCTGGATAAACAGGTATCACAAAGACTGAGCTATGAGGTTTTCTCAAAGAGTGCGAGTGCAGGGATTTAGGTGAAAGCATTAAAAAAATCTGAACGTGAAATAAACAAGTCAAACCCATTAAGAAAAGCTACGAGGAGAATTGGCAGAATTACAGTGCTGATCCGAGCAAAGAAATCCTCTGTCATTGTGAGCCAGCCACATCTGAAGCATGAATCGTTAACGGTTGGCAGAACAAAAGGACTGGGCCTTCCACTCTTATTCTAATCATTTCCCTTTTAGGTTCGTCTTATTTCCTCAGGCCTTTCATTCGCTGGTCATGCTTTGAATCTCAGCCGCATTGTTTCTTGTTTTTCATCATGATGGTCCAGAAATCTATTTGCATTTAGTGCATGTGCACATGAAAAAACGCTCACCGGGGGGGGGGGGGCTTTCATCTTATCTTGGCGTCTGTGACGTGATCCGCTTGGCTCGGCAGACCTGCACACGCTTCACACACGCGTGTTCCTCTCACTCACTGTCTCCTGCTCAGTTTAATACTTTTACAGTAGGTGTAGAATAATCTTGAGTGATTTCATTAACAATAGAATTTGAAATTGAAGTATCCGATGGTGGTTAGCACAAAGTAAGAAGGTCCCGTGTCGGCGTGGGTTTTCTTGTGCTTCCTCCCACAGGACAAACACATGCAGTCGGACATAAAATCTAACTGACAGCTAACCAGAAACTGTTTTTTTTAGGTGTGTGGAACTCCGGAGTACATCGCCCCCGAAGTTATTCTTCGTCAAGGTTACGGGAAGCCGGTGGACTGGTGGGCTATGGGCATCATCCTGTACGAGTTCCTGGTGGGCCTTGTGCCTTTCTTTGGAGACACCCCAGAGGAGCTGTTTGGACAAGTCATCACAGGTGAGAGACCAGACGTCCGAGCTGGAGCAGCATGTTCAGGTGGATACATTAAACACTCACTCCTTCCTCTCTGCGGTGTCTCGTAGACGACATAGTTTGGCCTGAAGGGGACGAGGCTCTCCCTCTCGATGCCCAGCACCTGATCTCCTCGCTCCTGCAGACGAATCCGCTGGTTCGCCTGGGCACAGGTCCGTCACCGGGGGCCGTTCTTGTTTTCTTGCTTTACTCAAATGCTCCTTCATCAATATTACATATTAAATCTATGTATTTATCTTGAATTGTATGACTCTGACTTATTTTTCATACGACCTACATGCGAGTGTTTTGGTCTGGGCTGTCGGTCCCTTCACTTTCTTCCAGGCTGCAGAAAACACCCGTCTGCCTTTGTCTCTCCTCCTCTTTATTCCTCTCTCTCCCTCCCTCCTCCGCCCTGCAGGTGGTACTTTTGAAGTGAAGCAGCACTCGTTCTTCACGGAGGTGGACTGGAACAGCCTGCTGAGACAGAAGGCCGAGTTCATCCCTCACCTGGAGTCAGAGGAGGACACCAGTTATTTCGACAGTAAGTCTACTTCCCGCTCATCCCAGCAGTAAAGTACAAATATTTTGTTACTGTTCTGAAGTAGATTCTTCATTTATCTGTACTTTACGTGAGTATTTATTTGTACTTGCAAAACCTGAACCTCTGTCTCTGAACCATATTAATGTCACAGGAGTCTCAGTTTTGCTTTGCACAGTAACAGTCGGGAACTTTTTATACTTTGAGCACATGTCAGAGCCTGTACTTTTACACTTTTACTTGAGAAAAGAATGTGTGAACTTCTGCAGAACACAGATCGTTTTTTGGTTAAAGATTCAACTCGGGGCCGCCTGCCTCTCCTGCATTACCATGACAACCACTGTAATTGCCAAAGGGTGATTATGTGCATTTTTAGACTCGAGCAGCAGCAGCAGGGGGCCGCTCTGACTCTGCAGCTTTTTAGATCAAGCTCTCGTGCACAGTGATGCACGTCTGTGGGCCAGTGTCAGTAGCCAATAATGTGTGTTAGAGTGAGATCATCAGAGATAACGACACCGTTCTCTCATCACCGTCCCTCCTCAGCTCGCTCTGAGCGATATCACCACGTGCAGTCGTACGATGAAGATGATACCAACGACGATGAGCCTGTGGAGATTCACCGCTTCTCCTCCTGCTCCCCTCGCTTCAGCAAGGTCAGACCCGACGCCTCTCGTCTCTTCATAGTAATGTTTGAGTTATTATTCATCAGTACGTAACAATACAATCAGAAAGTGTGACTGACTGGTTGTGTGGGTGTGAAGGTGTACAGCAGTATGGAGCATCTGTCCCAGCTGGAGCACAAACCCCATGGTGTGACTCTACGGGAGCACAAGGTCCCCAGGGAGGAGCGAATGGCCAAGAGAGAAAGTCTGGGAAGCGTCACGCTCAGGGACAAGAGCTGGAGGACTGGATCACCTGAGATGTGAGTGCAGGCTGCAGCCTAATCGTCTTTTTAAATGATGAGCCCCCTGGTTGTATGGTTCTAATCTTTCTTATGTCTTGTTTCTCCAGGAAGCGTTTGTCCTGCTCTGAAACCTCCTTCACCGAGAGTGACTCCAGTCCACCGTCTGGGACACGTAGACGTTTCTCTGCCCTCATGGATACTCACCGCCTGGCCTCCCCTCTGGAAGTTGACTCCGAGCTGCTCGTCTCCTGCAGGCAGTCGACAGTGAAGGCGAGGGGAAGCTCCCTGGAAGGAGCCATGGCTGCCATCTCCTCTCAAGGCGATCTGAGAGCCTACCTGAAAGACAGCAACGGGTTCACAGCTGGAGGTAGGAGGGGACGAGGCAGCGCAGCGTCACTCAAACATCTGTGGTTTCATGTATCTTCTGTGACACAGACAAGTTTTGAGACCTGCTGATGCATCATTGTGTTTTCCAGGCAGCGCTACTGTTCTGGGGCTTCCGGATGCCCAGGGGCCCCGCGGGGCCACCACTGACCTGGTGCTGCGGCGAGTTCGCCACCACCAGCTCACGGCCGAGGGAGAAAAACGCCACTCACAGCCAGGAACCAAAGTTATCAAGTCTGCCTCTGCCACGGCTCTGTCTGTCATCATTCCTGCAGGTGAAGGATGTCGCACTGTAAAACTGTCAAAACCCTTTTTTTAACGCTGAATCCTGTCACATAACTTAACTCCGTCCCTCCTGCCCACAGTGGAGCAGCACGGTGCGTCCCCTCTGGCGAGCCCCATGTCTCCTCGCTCCCTCTCCTCCAACCCCTCGTCCCGTGACTCCTCTCCAAGCAGAGACTTCTCTCCGATGGTCAACGTCCAACATTCTCCGATCACCATCCATCGCTCAGGGAAGAAGTACGGCTTCACTCTCCGAGCCATCCGAGTTTACATGGGAGACAGTGACGTCTACAGCGTGCATCACATGGTCTGGGTGAGAGAGCAGTTCTTGATGACTCTGCTTAGCATGAAAGAATATGTTTACTACCACCAGTACTAAGACTTGTACATTATCTCAAGGAACTTTACGTAGAAGGTCACAAGACCTGAGACTCAGATAATCAAATCGGTTCATTAATCATTTCTTTTAATCCCAGCATGTGGAGGATGGAGGTCCGGCCCAGGATGCTGGACTTCGTGCTGGTGACCTGATCACTCATGTGAACGGGGAGTCGGTCCACGGTCTGGTTCACACAGAGGTGGTGGAGCTCATCCTCAAGGTGAGATCGATCCGTCTCTCCGTGTATCTATTTATATTTACATTTTAATGATGTGTCTATAAAATAACATGAATATTGATCCTCAGAGCGGAAATAAAGTGACGGTTACAACTACTCCCTTTGAGAACACCTCGATAAAAGTGGGTCCCGCCCGCAAGTCCAGTTATAAATGTAAGATGGCGCGGCGAAGCAAGAGGACCGGGGCCAAGGAGGGACAGGAGTGAGTTACCTCAAAGCCTCAAAGCAGATGGACTTTATGACACTTTTCTGCTCCCTGTGCGTTTTCTTCTCCTCAACATTTCCTCTGTTGTGTCTTTCAGGAAGAAGCGCAGCTCCCTCTTCAGGAAAATCACCAAACAGTCGAATCTGCTCCACACCAGCCGAAGCCTCTCCTCTTTGAATCGCTCGCTGTCGTCTGGAGACAGTCTCCCCGGCTCCCCCACCCACAGCCTCTCCGCCCGCTCGCCCACTCAGACTTACCGCTCCACCCTGGAATCCTCTTACCCGGGTTAGTATGAGGCTCCATCCACACACATATGTTTTAGTTTGAAAATGTTTGAAGGTAATTTTCTCCGATCCCCTCAGGCAACTCCTCCCAGAGCAGCTCCCCAGCGACCAGCACCCCGAACTCCCCCGCAGCCTCTCACCACATGAGGCCCAGCTCCCTTCACGGTCTGAGTCCCAAGCTCCACCGCCAGTACCGCTCCGCACGCTGCAAATCAGCCGGCAACATCCCCCTGTCCCCTCTGGCTCACACTCCCTCCCCGACCACCTCCTCCCCTCCGCCTCTCACCGGCCACACGGTGGGGAGTTCCAACACCACACAGATGTTTCCCGTCAAGCTGCACTCCTCCCCTCCTGTCGCCCGCCCTCGTCCCAAGAGCGCAGAGCCGCCCAGATCCCCTCTGCTGCAGCGGGTGCAGTCTGCAGAGAAGCTCGGAGGGCCGATTCTGCCTTCCTCCTCTTCATCATCATCGTCGCCTTCTCCTCTGACAGGCGGGGTATCTTTACGCAAGCATAGCCTGGAGGTGACGCACGGGGACTACAGGAGAGAGTCCTTCCACTGTGAGCACAGCCTGCAAAGTCTGTTAGAGATGGAGGGAGAGAACGGACCTGCTCCACCCTCCCCTTCATCATCTTCCTCCCCTTCTCCTCCCATGGGGGAGATCGGAGTCCTAAAGCCTGGGAGAAGGCTGGGGAGACAGGAATCACCGCTCAGCCGTGACACACTGATGACAGCCAGGGATAAAGATACTCAAACCACAGCATCTGAGACAGGGAGCGTAGCTACTAAAGCTGAGTCCAAAACCAAAGTTGTCGACTCTAGCAAGACATCGTCCGCTGCTGTGGTTCTAAAAAGTAACGTTAGTGCAGCTGCTGCGGAGACCAAGTCTAAACCAGCACCGGTTTCATCCACTGCAGAGACCAAACCGGGCCCCGGGGACAAACCTCCAAGTGCTTCAGCTTCGGACGCAACTGTCCCCAAGAGTAAACTCAGCGAGAAAATCTCAACCCCGGGAACAACAAAGATCGTCCAACAGCAGGTGAGCAAGCAGCCGACAGACGGCGGAGCTGGAACCAAAGCTCAGGAGAAGACTGAGGAGAAAGTGAAAGCTGAAAAACTTCCTGCACAGAGATCCTCGTCTTCAGAGCAGTCCAAGACACGAAAAGGCTCCGAGACAGGAGAGAGAGGAGGCATCAGCGGCTGCGATAAAGCATCTGAGACGACTAAGGTCAAAGGTCCTGCACCTCCTGTTCCCACTTCAGTTCCAGCCCGCGCTGCAGCTCATGCGCCGGCTGCTGCCAGATCCAAAGCAGAGAAGGTATCGAGCCGTTACTGTGGCGCAAAGGAGGAGAGGGCGCACTTGGAGGTCCTGGAGGAGAATCCCATGTCGCCCTCCTCTAACGCAGCCTCCCCCTGCTCGAGCAAGTCCCGCCCCATGTCTCCGGGGGACAAAGCCAGCTTTGTCACCCAGCTGACGAGTGTGGCCAAAACGGTGCTCGGGCCCATGAAGGTAGGATCGCAAGATGGAGGCAAGATCAAAGACGCCTCCAAGACGGGCGAGGAGAAGCGGGGAAGCACAGCGGGAAGAGCAGAGGCTGCGACCGGGGGGGGACGCCGCGGGGCTCAGACGGGATCCTCCGCCAGCGGCGGCGGCACGGTCCAGTCCGATCGAGGAACCAGTCGGAGCTCCAAGCATCATTCGTGATAAGGGTCGGAAAGAGTCAGACTCTCCCATGTAATGCCTTTAACTGTAGCATCGTACTGACATATCATGAATCAACGTGACCTGGAAAGAAGAGGAGACACAAACGCCTGAAGAAATAACACATGTGACCTGTGGACTCATGTGAACAGAGATGCATCAGCTACTGTTGGAAGATGTGTGCACGTGGTATCATAATGTCAGCCTGTGTGTGCACTGTATGTCCATCCCCATGTCTTGTATATAGGTTAGAAAAACGTTTATGTCTCAACGCATGTCTTACTCGTGGAAAAATGAAAGCATATTTAAAAAAGAAGGTGAAAAATGTAAAGCAGACCTTGAGGTAGTGAACACTGTGAACAACATTTCAAACGACCACAGCAACCAAACCGTCAGCTGCACGTCAACGAGCAGGATTCTGTTAGAAATGGGCATTACTCATATTTCAGATCAGCTCCAGTGCCGTCATTTAGTTCATTCTGTGTTTCCTTAAACTTAAGTCGCTAAAAGGGACGAGATTGATCTCGTGTCATGCGGTGAACAACAAACAAACTGGAACAAAACGCTAGCAGTGATGGAACCCGAGGGCGAACCAGCCGGTTTTGCATCAGATCAGAGTTTAAGGGCTGAATCCCGTCTGGGATTGAAAGAGGTCGATTAGATGAACTTGCACAGGGACGCTATGCAATCTGCTTATCACGCCAGTTTCCTTTGGTGTCCCCCGATTACTAAGTTTACATTGTGTGTCAGACAGGAGGAGAGAGACGTGAGGGTCGCAATAAGTCGAGCATTTTTAAAGTTGTCTCCACTGATCGTAGTGAAACGTGTAATTACGCTGGGCTGTATATCGTAGGTATCGTACGATTACATGAATACATGAGTCCGATCAAAGTGTGAGAGCAGCAGTCACAGCAGAGTCGCTCTTTTATCCACTCTTTTCTATTTATGCAGTTTATTGTTACTTGTGAAGGAAAGTGCCAGTGTTTTTATTTACTAGCGATAATGTGATTTATTTTTAGTTTTTTTATTCTAATGTGTAATAATATGCAACCCATCCGTGCCCAGTTCCACAGAGCCGAGCACGCCTGACACAGCAGTCGACTGAGCACCGAGCCAGGAGCAGATTTTTTGTCGAGAGCGTCTTCGTGCTGACGTCTCGTTCGTTCTCGTGTGTTACAGAAAAATCCTCCTGACATGTTTGGGACAGAAGAGTCAGAGCTGTCTGAGACTGCCACCTTGTGGGCGTTATCAGAAGGTCCTGAGGAACAAAAATAGATAGTTTACATCCAATGAGACGTCTGATAACTCCGCCTGTGGATCTTTGCATTTCATACTTCATGAGTCTGATGCATCGTCGTTCTGTTAACAAACACATTTTGCAGCCCGAGCTCGAACACTCTTTATCTTATCACCCAGTGGACACCAGTGATTTTTGTGTGTGATGTGACAAACTTGCACTTTATTTTTGTGACAGATACTTTTAATTTACTTGTGTTACATATTTATTTTAATTATTTTTCTATTTATTAAACCTTTTTTTATTTATTCAAATGTTTTTACGCGTCATGAGGTAGGGAATTTCTGTTCTACCACTGAAATTAGTTATTTATGAATTTAGCATCTGGTGAGAATCTACCAAATCTGTGTGGCTGCCTCATTCTGTGCAGTTTAGACTCATTTGTCATTGTCTCATATGTCATTCCATAAATCTGACATTGTAACATTGCTGTCCTGTCCATCTCTGTCCAAGTGTTTGACTTTTTTACAGCTGCAACTCTCTCCCTGACTCTTGTTGTTCGTTACATCGCTACAGATTTATTAGCCACCGTTGTGAAAAACTGATGCAAAAAAGCCTACAGTGCAGAAATGTAATAAAATGCAGCGAAACCCCAAAACCTGTGTCTGACTGTTTTTAAAGGTATTAAAGAAACATCATGTAAAAAGGACAAATCAGAAACTAGAACAGAACTCGCAGAACTCCCCCATCAAGCTGCACCCTCGTCGATCAGTTCCCTAAATATTTCTGGGTTTTTTTCCACCTGACAAATCTGGATCTATGTCAAAACCTTTCATTTTCATTTGGATATTCTTCTAGAAAGTAAAGGACTTGTCAAAACTGTTGCTTCTGTCCTGCAGGGACTTAAAATTAGATGCTCGGTTGGTGACAGTTGCTGGTTTCTAGTCCAATGAAAATATTATATTAT